TCACGCTCTCCATCTATTTTGCATGTGGGGCCCCAGTGTGGTAGGCATTCTCATAGGGTTGCCAGACATCTGGTTTGCAACTGGAATGCCTGGTCGAAAAGGGATCCTGTTGACTCTGGTCAGCACTGCTGATCGGGCCACTAACAGTCCAGTCAGAGGCGCAGCGGGGCTAAAGCAGGTTCCCTGCTTGCCCTGCCTCCATGTGGCTCCTGGAGGTGGCAACATGTCTCTGTGGCCCATAGGTGCAGGGGCAGCCAGGGAAACTCCACATTCTGCCCCCGCCCCATGTGTCGGTTTCGCAGGTCTGAGTGGTCGGAAACTGTGGCCAATGGGAGCTGTGGGGGTGGGCACCTGCAGGAGCAGGCAGTACACAGAGCTCCCCTGACTCCTCTGCCTAGGAGCCGGACATGTCACTGCTTCTGGGAGCCATGCGGAGGCAGGGCAGGCAGGGAGCCTGCCTTAGCCCCACTGAACCATTGACCGGGAGCTGCCTGAGGAAAGCACAGCCTGGCTGGAGCCCGCACCCTGATCCCCCTCCCACACCCCAACCCCCTGTCCCAGGTTGGAACCCTCTCCTGCACCCTAACTCCCTCCCAGGGCCTGCACCACCCCTCATCCCCTCTCTCACCCCAATCCCCTGCCCCAAACCTGGGCCCCCTCTTGGAGTCTGCACCCCACACCTCCTCCCAAACCCCTCATCCCAGCCCCACCGCGGAGCACACACCCCCTCCTGCACCCCAAACCTCTGTCCCAGCCTGGTGAAAGTGAGTGAGGGTGGGGGAGAGCAAGCAACGGAGGGAGGGAGGATGGAGTGAGGGGGAGTGTGACATTGGAGAAGGGGCGGGGTCGGGAGGGGTAGGGAAACGGTGTTTGGTTTTGTGCGATTAGAAAGTTGGCAACCATCCATACCCAGAGAGCACCTAGCCAACTGGATCCCCTTCAAAATCTAGCAGGTGGTGGTGGTGTCCGCTTTAAGGTTGCTGTGCCTAAGTCCCTTTGTGGATCTGACCCCACGTGTCTAAAACATGCCTCAAGCACTTATTTACAAATGAGGACCCCAGTGCTGCAATGAGCTGTGCATGGGCAGACCACAGTGTTCACATGGAGCTCATTTAAGGATTGGAACTTTAATCTAGCACTATTTCATTCCTGAGTTCAATTTCCAGCTCAGCTCCAGCTGCAGCTAACTTCCTGATAACAAGTTTAAAAATACAAACAAACAAACAAAAAAAACCTGTTACGCAAAATGTTCCAGATCTCAAAGGTACAACAATTGTACAGTCAACCTTATCCTAAACACTCTGTATTGTTATCCCACAGTTGGAAGTTTATCAGAAACAGTTCCTTGATTTCTGCGCACCTGGTGGAAGGTGTATTGCATTTTCATAAGCTCTGTAAAACCATTCAGCAACAGGTTGGGTTGAACACGTGTCGTCTGAAAAAGCATGGACTGATATTTTATTCGGATGTTGATATGGTTTTGCACCATATCTGTGGTGAACACATTTATTTTTCCCCTTGATTTGCAGCATTTTGCAGTGAACACTAACTACATGATCATCATAGCTTTCCTAAAAATGGCTTTAAAGATCTGATGTTGAGTGCCTCCTTTGGGAAAGTTCACTGCTGCTAAGTAATACTCTAAGGTCACAGAACATGATTTTCTTGTTTATTAACAGAAAAAAATGGAATCAGCAGTCCCAGAAAACACCAAGGGAGTCTTGTTTGACTGGGAATCAGAGCTTCTGATTTTTAAAGTCCCTTCAGTTTATGCTACTATGTATTATCTTTTGTGTTTTCACTTTTGGTTTAAGTAACATTATGTTCATAGTCAAAATTATGTTGTAGCATGAGGAGAAAAGTTAAATAAGAAAGAAACATGTTTTTGCAATAAAAAAGCTTTCCTCAGAGGTGTGTTGTGGGGCGTAATTTATCAGTGTTTAAATATGCGTTAAGATCCTCTGATTGGAAGGTATTACAGAAGTTCAAAGTGCTAGGTTTATTAACAAGCAACTTCTTCTCATGACTGTCAGGTTTAACTGTGAATACATAGCATCCTCCTGCTGCCAATGGTTCAAGGTGGGTAGAGCCCATTAAAACTGCTGTAGAGACATTGGAACCCTGGAAGTGGAGATGCCCAGGAGAGAATTTCCTCTGGTGCAGAATTTATGCAAGACGCCTTATTTTGCCCTGCAAAGCCTCCTCTACAAGCCCCTGGATAGGGGACATGTCAGGGACTGGGCAAGATAACATGTGGGGGTTGGAGGGGTAGGGCCACAAAGTGTAGTCATAACAACAATAATACTGAGCAGTTACACGGCACTGTTTGCAGCTATGTGTAGTGGTGCTGCCTCCCAGAGCAGGTAGGGGAGGAGCTGCCATAACTTTGGCAGTACTAAGTTTTGCTGTAGGGGGCACTCACCAGCATTGGCAGCAGCCCTGAATTCGGAGTGCATAGATGTTGCCAAAATCCATCTTAACTCCCCCTCTCCTGGCGTGAGTTTTATGCTGTATCGCTAAGAGATTGCATATTACGTAGGCAGCAGAAGGAGAACACAGCAATAAATAAGAATGAGTGAGAAAACACGATAACAAGCCTAAGATCAAAATAGATTTTTTAAAAAAAATCTTCCAATGTAAAAATCAGAAAAAATAAATGCCACCAGATATTATATTAGCTTTGTCTGTTGTTGATATTGAATGCACTGTCACTTTGGATACAATCTTCCATTAAATAATGCTACAGTTTACCTGCTATCTATATATTTGAGTAACAATTTTTCAGTTATCTTAACAAAGTCTATATATTCTATTTTTATCCTGATCTTATTTAAGCAACCTCCTTTCACTTTCTTGACAGTTGGTAACGGTATTTAACAATTGTACTGAGTAATCTTATGCTTTCTGTTGCAAAGGTATTTTTCATAGTCTCCTGAAATCAAAATAGAATCCTCCTACACATCACAGTCTGACTTTTAATGTGTAGATGCTGTAAGCCTCTAAACAGCATAAATATAGAGGGCTGTCTATCAAGCCACATTCTGCGAAATATAACTTCCTTACTCCCCACGATATTCGGTTGTCTCCAATCTTTAAGTTGTATTATTATTCAGGTGATCATTTTTCATGTTCCCTAATCATTTTGTATTACAATTACTTTTACCTCGATATTATCCAAGTTATTCCCGTTTGTAGTTACTGTAGTATTGTTTATCTCATTATTATTGTTTATTTTATGTAGTATTGTTTATCTCATATAGCTGCCTTTATTGCTGTGTCAGTTTTGATCATTTCTGTACATATCTAGCTATAATTGGAACATCTACTTCTCCCACCTATGCCTCCCTTTGAGTTTTAAATAGCTAACATTTAACTAGCCATTTGCCATTTCTCTCCTCAATATGCAGTGCTTCTATTTTTAAGTTAATATTATTTGAGCATCTATCCCCAGGAGTCTGGTCAGGATTTTACAGGCTCACCTGCAGGAGGAAAAATTAATGCCTATTCTCCAACCTGTGGCGAGAAACAGGCTGAAAGTGGTAGGATGGTTGTAAAACTAAAAGGCTTTTAGTATTTATAATATATGATAGAAGAAAGTGGTGAGGTGCTAGCTAACTAGCCACTTTTTTCCTATAGGGCAGGCCTGTCTACTCTGCTCTTCAACAGTCTTGTTTATAAGTTTGTTGTAGTTAGCAGTGTTCCGTCTGACTCAGCCCCTCTACATCTGCGTTCTGTCAAGGGCTTCCCACTGAAAAGCAGTGAAGTGTTGAATTGGGAAATTCTTAGATATTATAGAGCCAGGTAGCAATGTCAGTTTAGAAATGAACAGGCACAAGCTATTACAAAAGGGGGAATTCAAAATGTCTGCTGCACTGAAATAAAACCTGACTTGTAGTTAATGATCCCAGGCAGAGTGGCCCTTGGCTGTCCTTAGCAGATAGCAAGTAGCTGCCCTGGAAACTTCCCCTTTTAAAAAACGTTTCAGTTATGAGCACAAGGGATTTTTTTTCAAGGTGTTGGATTTCAGATCCTCAGAGTCATCTCATACTAAGACTATCTGGTGTGTGTATCTGGAAGTGGGAATAGACTACATCCTGTTATAAGTGTTTTGAAATTGTGCAAAGTGGATATGTAACCTCACTGGGGTGCCTTTTAGGAAGGAAGGAAGGAAGGGACAGAATGGTCCTGATTGTTGCTGGCATAGGAACAAAGGTGCATTTAAGTTGCCTTTACAGCCTCCATATTCTTGTTCTCACTAGCCCACAGCATAAATAAGAGGCAGCTTGGGGCTGCTGTAACTTACATTCTGTCTGCAGTGTCCCCTTGCAGGCTGTCATTAGATGGCGTTACCTAAACCATAGTGCTCTTTGATCATGCCTCCTCCCTCCCTTTCCTTATGCCTAAGGCCACAAGTAGAGTGGCATAGAACCATTCCAGCAGCTGCCCCTCTCCCGGGGAACCCTCTTACACTGGCAGTATTCTTAGGGTAGCTTCTGCCCCCCTCTGTGGCCCTTTATTCTATCAGAGCTGTGTAAAGGGCCTAGGGTGCAGTGGAAAATGGGCCTCCAGGAGCTTTATATTTATTTCTGTGCAGCAGCTGATTTGTGGAGGTTGCAGGAATGATAGGGAATCCCTTCAGAATTGTCACCAGTGGGAATATTCATATCCCCCCCCCCCCACAGACTCATACTCACATGGTCTCAATCACATAAATACAGGGATTGCAGAAAAATTAAGAAAAGTTGACAATTTAAATTGTTGTGAATGTGATCTTTGGAGAAATATGTGATAATATTGTGCAATTAGAGTGTGCTCCAAAGCCCACTGAGGTCATAAGCAGCTTTCCTTTGGTTTCAGTGAGCTTAGGATCAGGCCCATTGGGGCAAATACCAAGAAATTTCTATTAATTCCAGTTTCTAATACTCAACTCATATCTTGAAACATTGGCTGGGTGTTGTTTTGCTGACTGGATGTTCTCTCTCTCTTTCTCTCATTACCAGGGGGCATTTTTGAATGTGTGGAATCCGGCCCAATGGGAGCAGAGGAATTGGCCTTCAGATTTGCTGTGAACACAATCAACAGAAACAGAACTCTCCTGCCAAACACCACATTAACATATGACACCCAAAAGATAAATCTCTATGACAGTTTTGAAGCATCCAAGAAAGGTGATATTTTGCATATTTAAACTTTTATGTCAGCAGCTAAAACTCACTTGGCTCACCTACCTGAACAAATGCCTGTCAGTAAACTATTCAGAAATGATACTGTACAAGGTTAAGGCGTGCACCACTGACATAAAAAAAAGTTTTAAAAATGGTCCTTTAAAGGTAACAGTTTGAAAAAAAATTACATGTGAGCATTGCTTCCCCATCAAAAGATTATTATTTCCTTATATATTTAGAATCAATTTTGAGATGAGGGTGGTTTTAGGGTATGTCTACACAGCAATTAAAAACCCGCGGCTAGCCTGTGCCGGCTGACTCAGGCTGTGGGGCTGTTTAATTGAAGTGTTGACTTCTGGGCTCGAACTGTAGCCTGAGTTGTCATGGGTGTCTAATAGCAGTGTAGACATACCCTCAGAGACTAGCAACCTTGGAAACTGAATAGCCTTTTTGGACCCGATCCTGCAAGGGACTGAGTGCCCTCAACTCTGCCCTATCTCCCAGTAGCTGGTGCACCTATTTAGCAGAACATGATGTTTCAGACCTAAGCTTTCCCTGCGCACCTAAAGTGCGTGTTTTGTAGGTAGGGTTACAAACTGATTCAATTGACACCACAAATCAAAGTTCATTTGAGGCCGCTACAGGCCTGTCTACACTGCAACTGGAAGTGAGCCTCCCAGCCCGAGTAGACAGACTCATGCTAGAAGGCTCAACAGCAGCATGGATGTTGCAGTATGGTGGATACTCAGACTAGCCACCTGAGCTCAGACTCACTTGGGCATAAGCTCAAGTCTCTGTTGATGCCACAGTGTCCACACTGCTATTTTTAGCATGCTAGCATGAGCCCTGCAAACACATGTCTGTTCACCTGGGCTGCGAGGCATTTTCCCAGTTGTGGTCTATAACCTAGATGAATCACAATGCGGTAAACACATACTGCACTGAGATTCCAGCTGCTGCTTCCAGTATCTGTTAAAATTAGAGACAGGTCTGAACCAAACCCTTTGATTTAGGCTGTTCAGAATCTAAAGTTCTGAATTTTGTGACAGTACGTCATTTGTAACTGATAACTTCTTCCTGTGCACTCAGGCTCCAATTCAATTCATGCTTAAGTCTCCTTAAAGTCAATGGTTATAAGCCTGTGCTTAAGAATTTTGGCAAATAGGGATGGACTGCTGTATCAGGGCCTCCAAAATTTGCTTAAAAGTAAATGGATTATTTTTTAATTAAAACTGATTCCCATGATTGTTAATCCTGTGTAGTTTCAGACCTTGCTGCTATACTTTCTGTACCTTTTCATTGTGATCCCTCAGATATACTGTAACACTGTAGTATGGTATCATACATAGTAATATAAAACAGAGAAGTCCTGGTGTGTTCTGAGATCTGTCTTTGTGTTCTTCTATTCCTAAAACACACAGGTGTTTGATTCAAGCTTGTGTTAGCTCACATTCTATGCAAATGCATTTTTTCCTACATCAGAGAGGAAACTACATAGGTTTTTGATTGTTAGCAGCACAATCAGAATGGTAGAAAGATCACAGGCGCAGTGGTCAGCTAATCAGATTTTATCAGAGGTTTCTAGTTTAATGCAATGGGTGATGTGAGGAAATTAGGGTTGTCAAGTGATTAAAAAAATTAATCACACGATTAATCACACTGTTAAACAATAATAGAATACCATTTAAATATTTTGGGATGTTTTCTACATTTTCTAATATATTTATTTCAATTACAACACAGAATATGAAGTGTACAGTGCTCACTTTATATTAATTTTTGATTACAAGTATTTGCACTATAAAAAGCCCAAAAGAAATTGTACTTTAAAATCACCTAATATAAGTACTACAGTGCAATCTCTTTATCATAAAAGTTGAAATTACAAATGTAGAATTATGTACAGAAAAACCTGCATTCAAAAATAAAACAATGTAAAATTTTAGAGCCTGCAAGTCCACTCAGTCCTATTTCTTGTTCAGCCAATCGCTCAGACAAGCAAGTTTGTTTACGTTTACAGGAGATAATGCTGCCCACTTCTTATTTACAATGTCACCAGAAAGTGAGAACAGGCGTTCACATGGCACTGTTGTAGCCGGCGTTGCAAGATATTTACATGCCAGATGCGCAAAACATTCATATGTCCCTTTGTACTTCAACCACCATTCCAGGGGACGTGTCCATCCTGATGACGGGTTTTGTTTGATAACAATCCAAAGCAATGTGGATTGATGCATGTTCATTTTCATTATCTGAGTCAGATGCCACCAAATGAAGACGGATTTTCTTTTTTGGTGGTTCGGGTTCTGTAGTTTCCACATCAGAGTGTTGCTCTTTTAAGACTTTTGAAAGCATGCTCCACACCTCATCCCTCTCAGATTTTAGAAGGCACTTCAGATTCTTAAATCTTGGGTCGAGTACTGTAGCTATCTTTAGAAATCTCACATTGATAGCTTCTTTGCGTTTTGTCAAATCTGCAGTGAAAGTGTTCTTGAAATGAACAACTATGTGTGGGTCATCATTCGAGACTGCTATAACACAAAATATATGGTAGAATGCAGGTAAAACAGAGCAGGGGACATATAATTCTCCCCCAAGGAATTCAGTCACAAATTTAATTAGCACATTATTTTTTTCACGAGCGTCATCAGCATGGAAGCGTGTCCTCTGGAATGGTGGCCGAAGCATGAAGGGGCATACAAATGTTTAGCATATCTGGCACATAAATACCTTGCAATGCCATGCAAATCCCTGTTCTCACAATCTGGTGTCGTTGTAAATAAGAAGCGGGCAGCATTATCTCCTGTAAGTTTAAACAAACTTGCTTGTCTGAGCAATTGGCTGAACAAGAAGTAGGACTGAGTGGACTTGTAGGCTCTGAAGTTCTACATTGTTTTGTTTTTGAGTGAAGTTATATAACCAAAAAAAAATGTACATTTGTAAGTTACGCTTTCATGACAAAGAGATTGCACTACAGTACTTGTATGAGGTGAATTGAATAATACTATTTCTTTTATCATTTTTACAGTGCAAATATTTGTAATAAAATAATATACACTTTTATTTCACTTACAACACAGAATACAATCTATATGAAAATGTAGAAAAAATATCCAAAATATTTAATACATTTCAATTGGTATTCTATTAACAGTGCGATTACAATGTCGATGAATTGTGATTATATTTTTAAATCGTGATCAATTTTTTTGAGTTATTGCATGAGTTAACTGCAATTAATTGACAGCCCTAAAATAAATTGTACCAAGTGCATTTTGATACTATACACATGTACAGAGTAGGGTAGTATGCAAAATTTACATTTTACTTAACACCTCATTTAAAATATGTTATGGGCCAGAGTGTGGCCCAGCCTTACATGGCTGAGCGGGGGAGCAAGATGATCTCTGACAGAGTCTCCCTGGACTACCACTCCAGATACTAGATTAGAGCAGGATCAGGGGCATTGCTGCTCCCTCCCCACCCTCAGAAAACAGGTGGGTGGCATGGAGTGGGTGCCCATTCACCAGCCAGTCTTATTGAACTAGCAGGTGGGTTGGGGCCTGGGAAATAACTTGCTATGGGCAAGGGTCTGTAGTGAAATACTCTGCCACCTTATCCCTCCCAGGAAACAAGGAGGGAACAGGAAAGAAAACGTAATTTTCTGAGTCTTAATTATTTTCCTAGAGCAGCATAGTAATTTGTTTTCCTTACATGGGCTATGCCCAAAGACACCATCTATCCTGTTGTTCTTATGCTGCAATTCACAGACCCATAGAGGTATATTTATATGTCCCTTTTGTACATCAAAATGAGAGAGTACCTCTTTATTTGCAGTTAACTAGACTGTATTAAACTCTGTAAAATCTTTCAGCTCTGATAGTTCATGGCTTCATGAATCCAAAGTACTTTCACACATTTGACAACCACTTTTGTGCTGAAAGGTTTTTTAGTCAGGAATCAAAGGCTAAAGGTTAGCATAAAATGGTGTACTTAGTATGATGGCTGCAAAGCAGGTTTTTAACAACTGGGTTTATGCATTTGACTATTTACATGGTTCATGATTATGCCCATTAGTGAGCAAGCAGACATCACATCAAAAATACAGTCTGTTTACCTCTTAATCACATAGCCTCTTGGAGTCGATTGCAGATGAGAGATTAATGAGTTTTTAAAGGTACCATACAGAAGAATAACCCCAGGGAAGATCACAATATTCCCAAGATGTTTGAATAAAGAATTATGCAAATGCAATCCCAGTCTCCCTCAATACATTAGAAAAAATGGTGTGCTTCTTATAGAAAAGTGCTGTACTAAATCACGTGCAAAATGATCACACTCTCAAAATCTCAGAAGCAGAAAATAAAAAGCCCATTGAAAAGCCATCTGGTAGCTATCACTGTTGTGTTAGATCCCATCTACTTGCATTTGCATAAAGCTTGTGGACTACACTTAGGAAGGGCAATATTAGTAGAAATTGGAGTGCAATGCTGAATTATGTTTTGAAGCAAAATGTAGTCACTTAGGCCCTAGTCCTGCACTCACAGCCATGTGGGTTGGACCCGGTGCCTATATAAAAGCTCATTGAAGTCACTGGTGCTCTTCAGGGGTGTTCTTGCTCAGTTTGCAGTACACAATCAGGACCTTGGTAGACTCTCCATCATGTAAACACATGAGAATGATTAATTTTAAATTAGTGAAAAGAGTGATGATATATTTATTTCTACTGCTTGCTTTATTGGCAGTCAGCAGTATTGACTTTGTAAAAATATTAATCATTCACATCTCATGTAAATGCCTTCATCCTGGCAGAGATCTTTTTCTGACCGTATAACTTAACAGCCCAATACTATTTTAAAAGAACAAACCTGTTCCATTTCAGAGAGATATGGCCAAAATGGGAATATTTCCAAATATTCTGTCAGGATGTGTGTAACAAAGTACATTGATTTAATTCTTTAATGAATACCAACAATTAATCTCCTTAAAGAGAAATATTGACTCCCTGCATTCTACTAGTTAATGTATATCTCTCAAAACAATACACCCAAAAGTCCACTTCAACATAAGTCAGTATCTGCTTAATGTTACATTATCTTAATAGGTTGAAATCCACTGAGTAATTGGGTTCTCTGGGGAAGTAGTCTGGGTAGGTTGGGGAGGAAATTCATTTCTAAAACTTGGGTTTAAAAATACAGCCCTCTATGGTCCTACATCTGCTGTAAGGTGCATTACCATTTGATTTCTCCCTTCCCCCTGCATTTTCTAAAGGCGTGCCAGAGCTGAGCCTTGGCAACTTCCATTGACATTAGTGGGAGTTTTGACTAAATGTAGTTGTGTTGTATGCATGCTAAGTATTGTTCTTCATCAAATCACAGTGAAAAGTTAAAGATGTAGTTCAACTTGGTCATTATTTAAAGGAAAAGTCTCAGTACAAATGAAAGTGTTAAACTTGAATAGGAAGGGGAAAAATATATTTCACAAAGTGCCATTTAGTTAATGGGAATAGTACAATACTTTCTGGCACATTCTCTCCTCTCAGAATTGACAGACTTCTGTCTCCTCTTCAGCCTGTGATCAGCTGTCCCTTGGGGTGGCAGCCATCTTTGGACCTTCCCATAGCTCTTCAGCTAACGCCGTGCAATCCATCTGCAATGCCCTGGGTGTTCCACATATACAGACCCGCTGGAAACATCAAGTTTCAGACAACAAGGACTCATTCTATGTCAGCCTCTACCCAGATTTCTCTTCTCTCAGTCGTGCCATCCTTGACCTTGTGCAGTTTTTCAAGTGGAAAACCGTCACTGTTGTTTATGATGACAGCACTGGTAAGGCTAACCCATGGGACTATGTGCAGAACTATTCATGTGTGTGCTTTGCTTGCTAATTATTGTATTTTTTTCCTTTTAAATGTAGTTTTAAGTGAAGCACAGGTAATTCTGTCTAAAATGGTGTGTAACACGTAACAGTTTTGCATACATTTATGCTGCATGTGTATGTTTTATATGCACAACTATATTATTGCATGTGCATAGTTCATATGCACACGTATACATACACCTTTTTATTCATATATCAATCTAAAAGTAATAGGTAAATCTTATCTTGTTCAGATAAGCATCTAAAGATCTGGATATTTATCCAAACCTATCACAAACATCTTTGATTAAGAAATTGGGCTGAAAAATTCATAAAACAGACTTTCTTGCAGGGGTCAGATTGCCCGAAGGGGGCGGGTGGAAGGTGTAGAGTCAGATGCCCTATTGTATTTCTTGAGTTTGGCTGATCTTTGGGAGATCTCAGATGTCCCTCAGGGCTCTGCGTGGCGTCTTGGATTGACTCCTTCTTGATTAAGGGGCTGTGAAATGAGCAAGAACTCTCCCAAGCTCAAATCCTATATTGTTCAGATAAGCATCTAAAGGACCTGGTGGTGCCAAACTGAACAAACTCATAGTAGTTTGTGTAGATCTCCTTAATATAATCCTCCCTCTCCTTTTTTATATGCTTTGAGTAGTGAAATAGTTAATCTTTTAAATGTTGACATTGTTATCATAGACCATCTGAGTTAGCCCCACTGAGATAAATAAGGCAGTTCATATCTCTTTGAGTTATTGTTTCAGATTCTGCTGACATCACTGCATCAGTTACACTTGGTCCATGTTTTCAAATCTGTCTCTGCAACCATAATATCTAGAGGCTGTTTTTTTTTTTAAAAAATACAAGCTTAGGTTCTGAAGAATAGGAAGGCAGCTTGAAAGAGGTGCTGCTACATGATACTAGTGAGTGCCTGCTGAAGCCCAGCCCAGCCCTGCTCACTGGTTTCAGCTAGGTAGGAAACACACCATGATGACTATTTTGGTTTCAGTCGTGGATAGGGCTGTGTAAAGCCTGCAGTCTAAGATTTGCAAAAGAAACCCTGCAGCCTGGCTCCTAGGATGTGAAAGCAAATGAAACTTGAAGGCTCATTTTCATAGCTAAAATTCAGATTTGCTGATTCAAATTTGATAACATTGAACCTCAAACTGCCAATGGGGAATTCCCCATAGCTTGCCATATTATAGCCCTCCACATCCTCCAGGCTGCTCTGACAGGAACCATTATCCTCAAAACAAACCATGGGAACCACCTCCTTATTTTAGGTTTCATCTAGTAAGTGGGGTTCACTACCCTACCAAGGCTTGTTGAGAGGAGGAGATAGCTGTTGGTGGTGATGGAAGGAAACTGGTTCTCAAGTGGGGTATGCTAGCTTCATGGCTGGGTAATCAATTTTGTCTCAGGTTTTCTGAATTGTTGAGACATTTTGACAATTTCAAGACTTTTTTCAAAATATTTTTGAGAAAAAAAAATTGTCAAAACTGACTCCCAAAAATTGTTTTGGTTTCCATGAATCGGCATTTTCCACTAGAAAAAATGTCATTGAAAATATCTTGGCCGGTCCAAATACTCTTGTAAAGAATTTTGTATGGTGATCGTATAGTTGAGAGATATTCACACAGCTTGGACATATAAGAGAAATGAGGATGAAGATTGGGTGTCTTGCATCTGCTGTGCAGTATACATACAGCATTTTGCATACAAAATGGCTATTTTAAATAGCTATATGAAATGTTAATCTGAGTTCATTTAAATGTGTTTTACTATGTGGTTAGTCTCCTTTTAAAATAACTATGAATGAGAAATCAGTATGTGTATTAAAATGATGTTTGAATCAATTTCTAAAGATCCCATAAACCTTCACAACGTCAGCTGAGAACTTTCAGTCCCAGTACCTCTGCCTTGCAAAGCTGCTCATGCCAAAAAGAAACCAGTACTTGTAAAAAGTAAACTTTTAATCTTTTCATGATCTTGGCTGTAAGTAAATTTTGAGGCTACGGTTTAAAAAACTGCCAGAATATCTTTGTTGGAAGCATCTCCCTACTTCAAAGACTTCAAATCCAAGGGCATGCTGCTGGGAAGTCCACAGCATCTTCTGCTTTTGAAGTGCTTATGGGAGCAACTTTTTGCTAAAAGAAACTCTCTTAAAAACAGACTTGAAAACTTAAAGCTAGGCTGTAAACAGGTTTAAAAACCATTTGTTAAAGAAGGTAATTAATCTTGATTAAGAAGGGCTCCGTTCAATTCATGGGTACTTCTAATGTAAACATTGAATGGTGGAGGCTGGGGCTGAAACATCCAGTGACAGTTTAAACTGACACTGGAAGATTCAGTATCATAATGACCCCTTGACCATGAAGATTTTGATTAGTTTCAAATCCATTCAAATGAATGAAGGAAATAAAAACAAAATTAGAATTTGCATTCTTGTAGGCACCTCTCAATCTCCTAACATAGGCAGGAGACACCCAAAATGTGGGGATCAATGTGCACTCTTATTTCCCTTCCTCTGTTTCTCTGTATTTACTCCTTCCCCTTCACCTCTTTCTAAGAGCTATTTAGGATTGATAGCCAGTCATGCCTCCTCACTTTCATGATAAAGTTCTCTACTAATGGATTTTCTCCTTCTGAATGGACATTTCCCAAATGGACACTTTTCATGGGAATAGCAATAATATGCTGTCGCAGGTATGCGGCATCATATTTTTCTTGCTAAAATTGAAGGTTCATTATTATTTTTTGATCTGTTTACGTTTATGTAGTTCTATTACTTCTGTATTTACATGGAAACTGCTGGAAATGAGGAGTCTTATTAAGAAAAAAAGGTGGGGGCAGTTGGGGAGGAATGTATGTAAAAGATTTTAAGAGTTTTCAAAGGATAAGTCTCCAAATAAAGCCAGGTCTCCGGGGGCGGGAGGGTTAGGGAGAAGGGGGAGAAGCGAGGGGTTGCAAGGTTCTGGAAGGCTGTATTTGTACTCTGGGGAAATTTAGATTACTATTTTATCTCAATATCTTAATTTTCATGGCCTCAAATGTAATGCAATTATGAGGCAGCTCTGAAAAATGTATTCCCCTGCTAGATGAAAAGGGCCAACCCACTCCCCCAAAAGCATTCCAGAAATTTCATCATCTACATTCTCTACGGCATTTACTGCCTTAAGATGTTGCATTCAATATGGGAAATTTCATCATGATGGCTCGATGTTCCAAAAGTACATATGAGCTCCCAAAACTCCACTATCACAAAAATAGATGTAAAAGCACACACAACTCCAATGTCAACCCTATAAAAATAAAGGTAAAACCAACAGTGGGAAAATCCTAAAGGTTTGAAGTGTGAGATTAATTTGTATTAGCATCTTCTTTCTTCTTCATTGTATTTTTTTATTTTGTAGTGCCCCAAAATGTGTTAGGTGCTTCGCTGAAACACAACAATAACAACAATAAATAAATAAATAAATAAAGAGCTCGGCTTTGGTACTGCTGCAAATATCCACCTACCTAAAACACTGCTATGGTACCCATTAACATAATGTCTGAGTGCCTCAAACTTTTTAATGTATTTCTTCTCATGAGTTAGGTAGGTTATATAGTTATCTCCATTTTAAAGGCCTGACTCCACAGAAGCTAAGTGACTGGCCCAGAGTCACACAGGAAATCTGTGGCAGACTAGGGACTTGAACCCCAGTTTTCGGAGATCCAGGTTAGCGCACTGACTACTAGACTGTCCTTTTACAGAGGTTTGGATGAAGGAAAAGTTGCAGTTTTTGTTAGGTGTGACATAGAACGAGAGAAGGAATTGCTCGGCGGATCTTCCTGACGCAGACTACCCACTGCCCAAAACAAATGGCCATAAAGGCAGAACAATTCCTAAGGTGAGGCTAGCCCTACTCCCCTACCAGGGATCAGATCGCCCCTGCCCTTTGCTCATGTGATGGGTGTGGGCTTAATCAAGGTGGGCCTCTTTCTGCATCAAACATTGAAACAAGTCCAGCCAGTGCCCATGTCTGCCGTTGCAACTCTGCCTCATCACTGCCTCAGTTAACCTGCGTTAGACAGCTGCCACACAAATATCAGTACTACAGAATCCTGTCACTAGCCCTACCTATAGGCTCTCTGTGGAAGGCAAAATCCAGACACCTGTAGCTACCAATTTGCAGAGTTGTAAAGAACTTTCTTAAAGGATCATTGGGCAAATCTCTGAGGAAAAAGGGGAAATCGAGCAATAAGAAAAACAACAAAGAAACAATCCAAGGGAAGGACGGGGGAAGGGAAAGAGGGGACATGGGCACGCAGGCAAAAAAAGGAGGCGCATGAATGATGGCTAATTTCCAGGAGTAGCAAATTGCCTTTTCCTCCCCGTGTATTTGAAGGGGGTGTTATGGAGCCAAAAAAAATTACCCCTGGCCCACAAATGGGCCAATTAGATTATGAGGGTGGGAATTAAGGTCCCTCAAGCTCTGTCCACATGCAAACCTGCTGAAGTATGAAGAGAGGGTGCTGTCAGGGGGCACTGACACTCCTCCCCATGCCAGTTAGGACCCATGCTGGTCCAGATAGACCCCTCCCCCTCTTACTCCCAGCCAGTGTGGTATGTAACAAGTGAGGAGTATAAGCAGTATGTTGGGATGGGAAAGGAATATGAGGCTACAGAAATACTTGGATTTTCATTTCAGATATGTACACACCATAGTGGTACGGTTGAGGTGGAGGTTGAATGTACAAAAATAGGGAAGATAAAGATTGAAGATAGTGAATTATTTTTGGCTCACTTCATTATTATGAAGAGATGAATTTTCAGATAAAACCTAAGGGCTTTATCTTGCAAAATGCTGAGCGCTCTGGCTCTGATATTAGAAAACAATTAAGCATTCACTTAAGCCCCTTTAAAGTGCACTGCTGGGTCTGGGCTAGAGTGCTCTGCATCTCACAGGCACGAGCTCTTAATTAGTGG